AATCCAACTCGACACGTTATTACGTCTATATGGTTTATTCTTTCGTATAAAGTTTCTTGGTAAAGAGAAGAATTATTAGTGCACTCTGTAGAAACATCATATTTTTTGGACGATTTGAAGGCTAAATATCAATAATTGAAGATTTCGAAATCATTAGGAATTATCAAACGCAAAAATTCCCATCCTACTAATTAGACCTCTTGTAATTCTGATACTTCGAGGTTTTTTTCGTCGAGGTGGTTGAAATCTTTCATGGACATCATTTGAGTCTCATCCCCCATTTGTTAATGTGGGAGTCCCACTCCAGGGTATACCCTCTAAACTCTCCACCCTGTTTGCAGGCTCGTCTGACTGATGTCCCGGCGGCACTTAGGCCTAGTGGCCCATTGTATCTTACCTACATGCCGTTATCAATTTCACTCATGGTGCTCATTATGGGCCACTTCAATATGAAAGACCCTTTTCGTTCAGGCTCCTGAAGATTACTCTTTCGATTCCTGTTCTCGTCTACGAAGAAGGCCAAAAGTTTTCCTTCTCCTACGAGTAACGGTGGAAGGGGTTGGTCCAGCCCTGTGATGCCCCCTGCACAGGGCTAAGGCTGTTTACTATGAGAGTTCGCCCTGTTTCCCAGAGGCCTAGTTAGCGACACCATACCTCGGTGCCATTCATCTATCGTCACGGATTTCCACAGCTTGGATTCGGCCAGAGCGAATTGTCCCATCTGACCCAGAGATTTTTTTTTCATGTTCTGGTTCCCACGAAAAGGGATATCCTGTAATGTTCAAAGAACATCGTGAGATCCAAGGGAAATAAGGTTACATGCCTCAGGGAACACCTCCCTTGGCAATGTGTTCCAGGGCCTCGCTGTTCGTTGGATGACCGAGTCTTTGGAAAGATATATTCTGCTGGTCTCCAAAGTGACCACGAAGGAGTGCGAACATTCAACTCGACGAGTTAATCTCGCGGGGACTGCCAAGGGAGGAACAATAATTGTTGATATTTCAGAAGAGTATCGTCCATGGAAATATCTATAAAATAGAGCCAGCTCGCCATTTTTCCTACAGTGTTCCAGAGAAGTGAGTGAGTTTGTGAGCTGCACTCCAAAAATGGGAACAGTATTCCAGAAGTCGAATCTGTGCCTTATAGATCATAAGCAGCTGACTGGAAGTGAAATAGCTCCTGGCCCGAAACAGAAAACAGCTTTTTGGGATGTACTTCTAGCAAATGATCTCACGTGATTTCCCCAAGAAAGGTTATTGCTGATAGTAATACCAAGCATCGAAATGGATGTCTTCAAAGGTATGGTTACTACTGACAAGCTTATGTTGGGCACAGTGAGATCGGCTTTTCTAGAGAAGAGGCATGCTTGTGCTTTATTTGCATTGAAATCTACCAAGTTATTAGATTCCCATTCGCGAATTGTTGCCAAGTCCATATTTATGTTGTCAACATTTCTTCCTCGTTCGTTTCTGATTTGCCTGGCTGGTTGGTATTGGAGCCCTGGAAGAGAATGCGGTATGGAGGGTGCTATCATCCGCGAAGCCGTGTACTGGACATAAAGTTGCTTCCAACAAATCGTTGATATGGAGTAGAAATAGTGTTGATGCTAGAATTGATCCTTGCGGTACACCAGCATTTATGATAGGAGAGTCAGATGAAACTCCGTCGACCACTACTTGGAGAGACCTGTTTGAGAAAAAACTAGCTATCAGAAAACATAGCTGGGAAGGCAAACCATAAGATGGAAGCTTGGCCGTGGTCTGTCCCCACACCATTCGATGGTGAGGTTGTGCTTGGAGGAAAAGAGGGAAAGAGAAGTTGGCCAAGGAAGGCCGATAGTATAGATTGAGGTTAGTGAGTATATACAAGTAAGCATGGTGAATTTGCAAGTATATCACATTTACCATGTATTTTCATCAAGTAACAAACAAGTCATTTCAAAATTTTATTCAGTATTTTGTTGTGGACATATGACAGAAATATTCAACGAAATCATCCAAGACCAATTACATTGATAAACACCAAACCAATGAAGAGATGAAAAAAACGACTAAGCTCATTCGAATACCCATCGCGCTGCTTCGTGGAGCCATGGCCCTATGTATAAACTTCAAATGCTGGTCCACCCTGGTAAACACGCCTGGAGAAGTCTCGTTGCAATCGCTGCCCATACTCAGTATGCCGTACACCACTTTGTCGCATATCATCGGCGCTCCGCTCTCGAAATTGCAAGCATCCGCTCCCAGAGAAGTGGTACACACCATAGACTCGCCGAACTTCCTCTTGCCGTAGGCCTTACTGCATTGCACCTGGGCAGCGTACTCCACCGATTTGCTGTCTCCTTTACGGAACCAAGAGAGCACGGAGCGTTCCTTCCCACAAGCTCCTGATGATCGCATCAAGTCGCCTTGGTAAGGTATTTTCGGTAGCTGCGGGAAAACGCCATTGGGCAATGGATTTTCGAGCTTCAGCAGCGCTATGTCGTTCTCTCCGGTAGATCTGACGTAGTAGGGATGAGGGTAAATGCTGGATATCTGCGACCAGTGGCACCACAGGTCCTGGGTGTAACTGTGGGAGACGTAAGACGAGAACGAGCCCTGGTAGTACGGGGCGTACGGTCCTGGTACGTAACCAGGCGGGTAGATGGCCGGGTAATTTGGTCCGTAGCCGAAGCCGTAGGATGGGGGCCATCTTGCCCGTAGATAGCCGCCGTAAGCGTACGAGCCTTGGACGAAGTTTGCCAGGTCCATGACAGCGAACATGTTCTGGCTGGCCTGGTTGTAGACGCATTGGCAGGCTGTCATGGCGTAATAGTAGGAGACCATCGTGCCGGCGCAGTATTGGTAGTTTATGGGCCAGCGTATGGAGGCGTAGAAGGGGTTGTTGTACAGGTAGCGTTTAGCTTCTTGGTGCGGATCATCGCTTGGGCTTGCTTTGGTTTCGGCGTCTTTGGCTTCCTGGGCAGGATTTACTGCTTCGTCATCGGCGAAGACAGAGCAGAGAGAACAGAATGCGATCAAGGCGCAGATCAACAGTTGCGAATGCATTCTCGTATTGAAGGTTTAGATTTTTGGTGACATTTTGAATGACGTTTGATATATCGACTGGGTATTTTTATTTGCTCTATTCGATGTCAAACCAATGAAAATCATGATTGGCGACGCAATGCTACTTTGTTGAGATTGCGGACATATAGTCCTCGTATTAATTCATGACTCTGTTACACGTACATTTTTTTAGCGGTGTAATAGTCTTGTGGTTAGAGATATAACTTGTTGACCGAGATATATCATTATTTGGGTAATTATTTATTTATTATGAGTCGGTAATTTACGAAAACTGTGGTCCAATCACCTTTACGAATAGGTTGATTTGTTTGGGTTCAATCCTACTTTTCTACACATTCAAGTATTGAAATGACCCACGCTTTCATGAATGAGGTTTGAGTGGTTTCATAAAACTCACTTGTATCAGGCTCTTATGCTACTGGGGAAGAGTCCCCCAAATGTTTTATGCCTTTCAGCTGAGAAGTCGTGAGTTATTTCCGAATGATTTTTTTAAACTCAATGAAATTATTGGCAATCTCCTAGGACCGATTAGTATATGGAAAATATTCTGATAATATCGTCCAAGTAATGATCTTTGGATTTCTAAGCCTATCAAGCATCGAAATGTCATTGTGTTCGGGTAACAGCCAACTTCATGTATTTCAATAAAACGCAATTTAACAGCCAATCAATGAACGAATATCAAATTGTGATACATAGTTGAATAGTGGATTTTAAGGCGAATAAGATAGGCTACAGAAATATACAGGGTGCCATTTGAAAAAAAAAGGTTGGGTCTACTTCCGATCAAACAGGTGGTTGAGGAGAATTGTTGAGATTAAGTTTCTTCATTTCCTCATGTAATAACATGCATACCATTACTTTTCTTTTTTTTTTTTTTTTTTGAATCACGATATCCATTGATATCCGACAGCCGTTCTTAGTTGTTCAGCCTGTATATGCACATCAATATGCAATATCATTCTGTATATTCAACAGGAAACAACTACTTTCCTGGCTATTTGCCACGTCGACCATTGAATTATATCTGTTCAACATCCAAAAGGAGAGAGCATGAAAAATAGAAATCGCAGATTCGTGATTGGTAGTCACTGTGATTTGGATTTTTCATAACATAACTAAAATGGCATTTAGCGTGCAGATATGTACCACGCTAAATGATCGATTAATCACGAATTGACGATCTGTGATTTATTCGAAATATTAAACACGTTACCATGGCAACACGATTTCTCAAACACATTACCATGGCAACATGTCTGACCTGTCAATTGTATCAACTGTCACCTGTTATTTTCAAATTTCGTATCAGAATTATTCAAACAATATTCGTTTGTATCAGAATTCTTCATCAAAAATATATTCGAAATGTAGACGAAAGTGAAATTGAAGAGAATGTTCTGGTACTTGCATTTCTCGTAGAAGTGTAAAAATGAAGCATCCATCTTTGAGAACAATTCTGCGCTAATCATGACAATAAACGTGAAACAAAGGTTAGTGTCGCTGGTTGCATGCAGTTGCATGTATTATGTTCTCAATTTCCATTCCTTTCGAATTATTTTGTAGGTTAGCAGGAATTGCAGGAATAGCAGGTATGTTAATGTAATTTTCGTTCGTACATAGTTCGTACATATAAGCATAGTATGTAACGCGTTTATAAACTCTTCTAGACACTCGTTTATCAAACACTCGCTCCGCTCTGCTCCACTCGTGCTTAAAATACTCGTTACTAAAAGGACGTTTATAACACTTGTTACATAATATACTATTATTACTGAAACAAAAGGTTGAGAACTGTAGATTTTGTGTATAAGTCATTGTACTATAGTAGGTATTTCACTTTTAAACAAAAAAGTTTTTTCATTTACCATGTATTTTGATGAAATAGCGGCCAAATCAATTCAAAATTTAATTCAATATATTTTTTTTACAATATGACAAAATCATTCAAGACCAATCACATTGATGAACACCAAGCCAAAAAATAGATGAAAAAAACGGCTCCGCTCATTCGAATGCCCATTGCGCCGCTACGTGGCTTGATGACCCCACGTATAAACTTCAAGTGCCGATCCACCCTGGTAAACACGCCTGGAGAACTCTCGTTGCAACCGCTGCCCATACTCAGTATGCCGTACACGATTTTCCCGCACATCATGGGCGCCCCGCTCTCGAAATGGCAAGTATCCGCTCCCAGAGAAGTGGTACACATCACAGACTCCCCGAACTTCCTCTTGCTGTAGGCATGACTGCAATCGAACTGGGTAGCGTATCCCACCGGTTTGGTGTCGCCTTTACGGAACCAAGAGATCACGGAGCGTTCTTTTCCGCAAGCTCCTGATGATCGCATCAAGTCGCCTTGGTAAGGTCTTTTCGGTAGCTGCGGGAAAACGCCTCTGGGCACCGGAGCTTGGAGCTTCAGCAGCGCTATGTCGTTCTCTCCGGTGGACCTAACGTAGTCCGGATGAGGGTACATACCTGATATCTGAGACCAGTGGCACCACAGGTCGTTAGAGTATACATTGGGATTGTAATCCGAGAGCGATCCTTGGTAATACGGGGCGAACGGTCCAGGTACGTAATTAGGCGGGTACATGGCCGGGTAGGTCGGTCCGAAGCCAGGGCCGTAGGATGGAGGCCATCTTCCTGTTGGATAGGCGCCAGGAGCGTAGGCTCCCTGGACGAAGTTTGCCAGGTCCATGACAGCGTACATGTTCGGTCTGGCTTGGTTGTTGACGCATTGGGAGGCTGTCATGGCGTAATAGTAGGAGATCATCGTGCCGGCGCAGTATTGGTAGTTTATGGGGTAGCGTATGGAGGCGTAGTAGGGATTGTTGTACAGGTAGCGTTTAGCTTCATAGTGCGGATCATTGCTTGGGCTTGATTTGGTGTTGCCGTCTTTGGCTTTCTGTTCAGGATTTACTTCTTCGGCAGTTTCGTCATCGGCGAAGACAGTGCAGAGAAAACTGAATGCGACCAAGGCGCAGATCAACAATCGCGAATGCATTTTCGGATTGACTGTTTAGATTTCAGGTGACATTTTTAATGAAGTTTGACTTGTTTGTATTCCTTTCGGTCTCCAATGTTACGGAATGATCCTGATCCACGGTGACATATCGACTGGGTATTTTTATTTGATCTATTCGATGTCGAACTGATGAAAAGCTTGATTTTCGACTCATTGTCACTTGGTAGAATATATTTAATTGGGACATATACCGGGTGATCAAGATTCTGAATTCTGCACCACCCTGTATTTGTTTCAATTGAATGTCAGTAGATAGTTGATCAAAAGTTGAGATAGGGACATGTGAGCCGTTTTGACCAATTATGAATAGTTTAGACACAAAAAATTCTTGAACTTGGAAAATCTCGATTTCTCACAACCTATATCTCAGAAGTTATAACTGCTAGACCCCAAGTATGATGGATTGTTGAAATCCGCTCACCAGGGAGAATCTCAAAATGAAACAATATATAGGGTGTTCGATAGAAAAAAGTTTAACTTCAGTGTTTTATGGTTTTTGGGGACACCCTGTATGTTTAGAAATAATTTCAAATGGTAGCCTATGTTGACATGCAACTTCCTAGAGAGGAAGAATTCCAAGAAGATAAGTGGTTAGCCTTCTAGAGACCGAGGCGTTACTGGTGGCCCACCCTGTATATGTATATTTCAACGCCCAATATCTCCACAACGAACCGTTTTAGAGCATATGTTTATAGGAAGATATACTATTATTTCATCGAGTTCTATCAATTTCTCAAGTTTTGGTCATTCAAATTTTTCCACCCTGTAGGTTTATCGCTGTCTGCCATGGTCTTGTCCTCCACTTTTTGGTCTGCCATTTAGCATAAAAACAAGTTGATATTTGATCAATACGTACACCTAATTTCAAGCCTTCATCTTATCACGTTGATTTTTCGATTTTTTTCGCAACTTTGACTCGGTCTGCCCCCCCAGACCTACTAGGCAGGCAGTGTTTCACACCATAAATGGAACCAATCCAGAAGAAAATTGTTACTTTACCTAGTCACGTTGAAACTCATGTAGACTATATAGTTATAGTTAGTTGAATAAAAACAAATCCAGCGAAGCCAGATATCCCGTAGCAACTAAACAAGCTGACTTTCATTCGAAATGTCATCGAAAATTTGAAAACTCAACTCAAAATGCGCCTAAAATTGTTGATGTGTGCTTTCGTCACATTCTCCATCTTATGCAGCACCCTAGCCGAGGAAGAAGAAGACGCGAAACCTGCCGAAGAATCTGCCCCACCCGCAGCTTCCGCCGACAACACCCGTTCGCTAGCACTCATCAAAGGAAAACACTGCATGCGCAAGAACCCATTCTACGCCTCGCTGCGCAAACCCATACAAAACCAGTTCTGCGCAGGCACAGTCATCACCCCCAACTGGCTGATGACAGCTTGTCGCTGCATCATCAACACCGCCGGCCAGATCTTGTACAGCGTCGTGGACCTCGCCAACTATATCCTCGGAGAGTCCCCCATGAATGACGGTTCATCCGCCTATCCTCCTAACTACCCCCCTGGATTCGGACCGGGGTTCCCTGCTGTTTATCCGGGGGGGTCTCCCTACCCGATGGTTGATGGCACCGGACCTTATGGCGTGGATAAAAGAGAGTTGCAAAATCTGCCCAAGGACGACCTGTGGTGCCATTGGGCGCAGATAATCAAGATACACGGTCATCCTTCGTTCGACAAGCGTTCTGGCCAGAACGATATCGCCCTACTGAGGATGGACTCACCGCTGAAGAAGGGCAGGTTCTTGAGACTGCCACCGAAGCCGTTTGCTGGCGATCTGCTGAGGTCGGCGCCTGCTTGTGGTGGCGACCGCAAGATGGTGTCTTGGTTCGGTGATGAAAGCGGCAAAAGGGTAGCTCATACGCACGTTGATGATTGCAAACGTGCCTATAGGAGCAGGAAGTTTGGGAAGTCTCTTATGTGTACCCAAACTCTCGGAGAGAATTCCTGTAATTATGAGAACGGAGCTCCGCTGGTTTGCGGGAATACCGCCTACGCTATCGTCAGTTTGGGGTCTGAGTGTAACGGTAGTACTCCGGGGGTGTTTACTAGAGTCGATCAGCATCTGCAATTCATCAGAGGGGTGATGACTCCTCGTAGCGCTAGTGGATCCGTGAAAATTCTTGTGAGCGAAGCTGTCCTGATTGTCTCTTTGTTGTTTCGGCATCTGTCAATTTGATTGAACATTAATAAATACATTGAGTGGCATTTTTTATGTTTTTTTTTTTTTTCGATAATAAACTCAACACTAATCTCGTCGCACCCCAGAATTTTGCCTGAAATATGAATAACTTTTAATGCTTTGAACAATTTGAATAGGATCACACTGTTCGCTAGCCTAGTCCTTCAGCTATAATCTCGTCATTCTTTAAAACAAGGTTCTTCACATAAAATCGCTACAGGGTGTTACCTGAAACTGTGCAAAATTTCGGAAATTTCAAAAGTATCCCAAATGAGGAAAACCTTGGGACAGTTCTCGAATTTTCTCCTTATCTCTTTTATTTACAGAGTGATCTCAAAACATTTACTTTTTGGTTTTGCAGTCATAACTTTTTTCTTCGTCAACCGATTTTTGAAATCTCAGGCTCATTTTGAAGCTTAAACTTCAGATGAAGGGATATGAAGATCAGAATTGACTCGAGATGAAAATTATACAGTGTGTCTCACTTCTAATGAAAGCACCCCTGTATCTTTCGTAATTGTTGAGTTAGTATTCTGAAATTTGCAAGAGCGGTCGATATACTGAAAATACACACTATGACCAAGTGGAGTCGTCTCCAGTGGTATACACTGCTTACCAACAGCCATGGAACCACCAACAAAAATGATATAGGGAGGCAAGATATGTTGAAAATCACTTCGGTTTCAACATCAGGACGTTCCTTTCTTGACGTAGGATAATTTTCAAAGGTAATATAATCTTCCACGTGATCCGAGTAATTATTGCTTCGAAAGAGATTGCAACAAACATATCATACGCTAACAAGTCAAAGCTCTTCCACAGACTGAAGATGTATTAATTTAAATACATCAGCTTCCATATTATTTTGAATTTCTAAATATCTTGTAATAATTTATTAGAAACCAATGATATTGACAAAAATAGTTGGTACAAGTGTAATTAGAAAAGCTGCAGTATAACGGTTTCCCATCGATGCGCTACGCATCATCACCCCTCTGATGAACGGCAACTGTTGATCTATTCTAGTGAAGATACCAGGCGATCTCCTTCGGCAATCTTTCCCCAAACTGACCAAACCATATAGGACATTGCCGCACACCAACGGGGCCCCAGTCTCGTGGTGGCAGACGTTCTCGCCGACAGGCGAGGTGCACATGGAAGATGCCCCGAAACCCCTCTTCTTGAAGACTCTGTTACACGTAGCAACAGAAGCGTGACCCACCCTTTTGCACTTATCCGTACCGAACCAGGAAACCAGCTCGGCCGACCTGCTGCAAGGCGATCTGGTTGATCTGCTGTATGCGCCTCCAGAAGGATTGAACAGGTGCCCGAAAAAGGGCTTGAAGGGCAGCTGAAGGAAACGTCCCACTTTCAAGGGTAGGTCCAGCTTGCATATACCGACGTCGTTCGTACCGCTCTCTGGATCGAAATCCGGATGCGGAGTCATCTGGTCTATATGGCTCCAGTAGCAGTACCACTCGTCGAACTCTCCTAGTGGCAAGTCGGTTTCCGTTTCTTCTTCTGGCCAAGTTGTTTCGAAGAGATCTACATCCCATGATGGTTTTGTTTCAGCAGGTTCTGGTGCTGATGTTGTCTGGGCTGGTTCTGGTACAGACACTTCTCCTTCTCCCCCATCACTTACTGGACCTTCTGTTCCTCCTCCTTGACCACCACCTTCTTCTGTTTGTCCACCACCTCCTGGCCCTCCATTCCCTTGTGCCCCTTGTCCTTGCATTTGGAATTGACTTCCTTTTCCAGTCCCTTGATATTGAAATTGGCTCCCCTCTCCCGATTGCCATTGCATTTGGAACTGCCCCTGTGGCCATACCTTTCCGGTTCGTTTGCCATACCCTCGGGGGTATTTGGGTGGGAAGCTACCTGAAGGATCTTTTCCAAGGACGAAGGTCGATAGATCGACGAGGCCGAAAACGGGCTTTTTTGCCTTCGTCTTGCGTTTTTCGTTGATGCATCGGGCTGCGGTGAGGAGGTACGCTGGGCTGATCATGGCGCCTGCGCAGTATTGGAGGTTGATGGGCGATCGCAGAGAGACGTAGTAGGGATGTTTGTAGACGCATCCGGCTCCTCCTAGATTGGCTGCGCGAGCTTCTCGGTGGGATGAGGTGTTGTTGGTACCTGCTTGGTCTTCATTGTCGTCTTCTTCGTTTGATATGGGAACGCTGCGTGCGATATGGAACGATATGAATACACAGAGTAAAGTTAGTTTCACATTCATTTTCGTCGCATTGTTTGAGTGACTTTCATAATGACATCTTATTGATCGAATCGGTTTCCAGGACTTCGATAGAACGGCTTGTTCCATATAGTATACAGGGTAGTGTTTCCGAACAGAACAACGAATTTTCCATGGACATCACTTTTTCTGACCAAAACGAACGTGTCAATCCAGGTTCAAGTCCTGGCAGTTCTCAGAGTGTTAAGATATTCGACCAACAATCAACTGGTGGTACTTCGTCCTTGTGATTTTTTTAATTGACTCGACCGTTACTTTTGATTGAAATCCATGGCGAATGAAAAAACTTCACAAACGATAAGATTTCCACGAAATTCTCAAACACACGATATGTTTCGCTAACACAGTAGCTTCGTCAGGTGATATACTGGTACGATAGTAGTAAAGTGTCATATTATGTATATGCACGACAAAATATAATCTTGAAATGAGTAAATCTATATCTTGTTTCAGAGCGAATTTGAAGTTTGAATTGAGTAAATGTCTTGCATGAACTCTGGATCTCATTCAATCAAGCACATCCATGGATTGTTTATGAAGAGATATTGAATTGGCTCAAACAATAATTTTGTTTGATTCAAAATAACAAGACTTCAATTCAATATTTAGTTGATTCGATGAAGTATTTGGTTGATTCAATGGAATATTTGGTTAATCCATCAATGAAATATTTTGTTGATTCAATGAAATATTTCGTTGATTCAAGGGAAACTGTATTTCCAAATTGTTTTGTTGAACCAAATTCAGTATTAATTCGGAAATTTTCTGAAATTTCACATCGATAGAATGAACTAAACTAGGAAACTAGTCGACTTCTAGCACAGATCTCCAGTCTTTACTATTCTCTTCACTCTCCAGCTGGTGCTAGACTTTTTCGGCTTGCTAAGCATTCTAAGTTCGATTTATCCAGCTCATATTTTAAACACGAAGAATCAGGCTTTACGTATATAATGAATTCGAGGCAGGCATATACGAGGCGAAATGATCGCCATCTATAGGCGAAAATTTGAGTTGATGTAGAATGAACAAAATATTTCATTGCTATCACATATTTCGTTGCTCTATTCAAGCAAATGATCCGTTCGAAACGAGTTCATTGCTACATCGGAATAAGAAAACTTGTATGTTGTTTCAAAGAAATATTCTCATCAAAATGATTATTATTTCATCAAATCAACAAAATGTTTATAGTTGAATCAACATAGACATTATTCTGGATCGACATAATTATTTGTTTTTGAGAAAACCATATATTTTGTTGATGGAATTGATATTATATTGTTGATTCAATTAGACTACATTCTTGATTTGAACAAGCTGTTTCCATGAAATAATCATGTATCTGGTTGATTCAACAAAGAATTGCTCAGTCCAACAAAAATAATTCAAGCATAAATAATTTGTTGATGCAACAAATCCTTTTTTTCCGTGTAATACAGACTTTTAAGAGTTACAGTATCCTCTGGAGTATCGAACTATACAACCATAAAATTTGTTGGCAGCTGACGATATTTGTTCGATGTGAGTCACAAATGAATCTTTTGGATCATAAGTGACAGCTGTGTTTTGAAGCTAGATTGTATACGTATTCGAAAAAGTTAGTTTTCGTGTGATCCACATCAGTTTGGTTAGGTCTGTCGATCGCTGATAGATATTACTTATTGTGTACCACCCGTAGCTTAAATTTCTTGAAAGTGTTCGAAGCGAATTTTCGACAACTTCCTGCGAATTATAAGAGGATGAGGAAACTCTGGAAGGGGCCAAAGTTCGAAATCCAGGAATGAAGTTTTCGCCATCCTTCATCTTGCAGAATGTGAAAAACAATATTGATCAATACTTTCAACACCTGATCACTGAAAGGATGGAAACTTCAACTGAAATATTTGCTACGAGGCTTCCATTTATACCGGAAATGGAACAAAAGGAAGTGTTAAAAGCTAGGAGGGGCATTGGGAGGTATAGGAAGTATTAGAAGTTCCTAAACATCATATAGAGTGATCATAAATTCATCATGATTTGACAAAATTCAAGTTGCATTTTTTTTTCTCAAATTAGTCACTGAGAATTTTGAATTTGACTTGAATGTGAATTATCTAAATTCAAGGCTAATACTGAAAATATCGTATAAGAGTTATATATTTTGAAAAGCGCAAAGCATCAATGTTCCAAATATGACAAAAATATACAGGGTGTTCCATTTAACTTTGGGTTTCTAATTAATAACAGCTTATTTTGAATATCTAACTACGCCACTGAATTCCATGTGTAAAACTATATAAGTGACAGTTTACAGATAGCTGAGATACAGGGGGGGGCCAAAATGCAACATTTTCGATTTCGCCCTGTATCTCAAAAATGAAGTGGGTTATGAAAATTTTGTTTGCGGTATCGTGAGCTTCATAACAAAGAGGCCAACAACTTTAGCGAAAACCGCAAATCTTCATCTCTGAAAATAAGTGAGATATCCCGTAAGGAAATTGAAAATTGGACATTCTGTACACCTTATTATCTTCTCATGATTTACAAAGCACAGATACGACCTGTTCTAAAATACTGTTCTCACATATGGGGTTCAGCACCCAAACATACTCTGATGCACTTAGATTCCATACAGAGAAGAGTCATTCGCCTGGTGGGTGATGCCACACCCACTTAACACTTTGACATCATTGGAATACTGTAGAAAGGTCGGCGACCTTTCACTTTTTTATAGATACTTCCACGGAAAATGTTCTTCAGAAATCTTTGCTATCATTCCACGACTTGCAATACCAATACCTCGAAATATGTCGAACTGCACTATATGAAAACTGGTTTCTCTATAGAACGGGAAAGCTCTGGAATTCATTGCCTCAGGAAATATTTCCAAGCACTTATAATCTCCAAAAGTATAAATGAATGCAATACGTACCTCCTCTCCCTATCCTCCCTTGGTACGCACGATGTTTTTCGAACATTATAGGGATTCCCTTTCGTGCGCACCAAGCGATAAAAAAAAGATAGATTTAGTTATTTTACACAAAAGTTTACGAGCCGCTGAATTTCTGCACAAATGAGCAATATCGTCTGTATGTGAAAACAATTATCAATATCGTCTGTATGCTGTAAAAACAATTATCAATATCAACGTATACAACATATTATGGGGCTCAAAATACAAGTACATTCAAATTTAATAACTAATCATTAACCAATAAACTTTTTGGCAACAAACAGTCCCTTTTCCAAGAACAACGCACGGACTGAAGATGAAAGGACATTGAGAACAATCATGATTGGAATTTGAAAATTCGGACACACTATAAAAACAGTTTCCTATGAGAATTTTTTTCAGTTTTGTATGGAGATCTCTACTATTCAAGAAGAGTAACTTACTTAACACATTGTGAAACTTCAAATTGATGGAATGGAATATTCCTATGTGTATTGGTTATTCGAAAACACAAAACCTGAGACCACAAATACAGACGCCAGAGCCAATAAAACGGTCCACAAACAACTTGATAAATAATTTATCAGAGCCGGTGCTCCAAAAAGCTCTTTCAGGACGAAATGCACGTCTCATGTGAAAAAGCGCGTGGTTAATCGTGAGATGAGAGATCTGCGATCAAAAGGACGCATCGCCATCACGAAACGCCCTCGAACATTTTTATAGGATGTAAATTTGTTGAAACGTTCATTGGGTATTCATAGGTGCTCGAAAAAAAGTTTGCGAATTTATTTTAGCCCACGTTACTGTATTCGTTTAGTGAGCGAAAATGAGTTAGCAATTTTCATCGTGGGATTTTCACATCGTTGCTTATAGTTCGATTAGAAAGAGAAGTTATAAGTGCCGTTGTTCGCAAATTTTCAGTAGGCTCCGGATAACACGTTATAAAGTATGTTTTTCTGCAACCTACACAAATGTACATTTTGATACCAAAATTAGCTCTTGAATTGGCGTTTCTATTACTGACACTAAAATAGGTATGTTGCTAGGCAACACATTTAGGTCCAAGGAACTAAAAAGGATGTACTAGAAATCATTAATAATGAACAAAATTGTTACGGTTTGTTATTTGGGTTGGGACGCATACCTGATTTGTTTCCGATTTCGGCAAATTTGGCATTTCATACCCATGCTGGTGATATAAATACACCTTATTATAGATCAGTCTTTTTGTTTTGATCAGGGAAGCCTTCACATACTTGCTTGATCTATATTTTATTCGTTTATAAAAATAAAAATAAATTCCAACTTAATACAGACATACATAAGTATCACACGAGAAAAGCGCAAGAAATTCACATTTCGAATTTCAATACCAGTTCATACCGGAAATCGCCGTACTGTGCTGGAAGCTACATAATATATAACAAACTACCAGTCACAATAAGAAATGCTACAACATTGAATATTTTCAGGAAGAAAATTCATTTTTTTCTAGTAGAAAACAGTTTTTATAGCTTGAAAGAATTCTTTGAAAAATGTTGAATATTGGCCTACGAGATTACTATAGAAGTAATAAAATTTTGTGATTATTTCTTTGTCCGTTTGTCATGAAAGATGTGTGCTCTATTGAAATATTATACAGATGTGTATATGCATACATGTATATGCATGTATGTTTTGTTAGTGTAAGTTTGTGTTTATATCATATTCTTAGTTTATATTATTTTATTTATACTCATGACAAAACCTTGTGTTCTTTGTAGCACTTTTATGGTAAATAAATTATTCTATTCTATTCTATTCTATTCTATTCTATTCTATTATTCTAGGGATGGATAACTTGTTCTTGAATAATCACGGCCAGCAATAGTTTTCTGTCTCGAACAACGATATTGTTTATATCCATTTGATTATCAAGCCAAACATAGTGGAGTATGGAGAGAAATGAATAATCGCTATTATTTCCTCGTCTTGTTTCTATACCTGGCACTGGCGCGGTATTTGCCATTAGAGCACCTGGTCCATACACAAATATGTCACTATATTGAAACTACAATTCGAACATCCTTGAAAATTGAATGAACCTGCTGTTAATGCAGGTAGAATACTCTCACCACACGGATTATTTGTTACATTGTATTGCAGAAAAAATAGCATGTTT